CCCTGCGACAGGGTACAAATCCACCTATCCGCATCAAGAGAAGTGCTCGATTTGGGGCTGGGATGGCTGCATGGTGCACGCAGCGGGCTCGCGCCTTGCCATTGCGTGGCGTTGCGGACCGGAAGCTCTGCCCTATAACACCGTGAGGCTGATCGCGGGCCACAGCCTCGCCCGACGCGGTGAAGGTGACGTCGATCCGGTGCTTGGGGCCGGAGACGCGTGTCATTACGTGGTTGCCCCGCGCCGTGATGGTCCAGTCGCGCAGGCTGTAGGTGGCGCTCGCCATGTCCACCTCCACGGCGAGCTCCTCGCACTTCTTGAAGCCACCCTTGCCCAATTTGAAGCGTTGGCCGCCGCAAGTGCCGTTAATCAGGCGCCAGCCCCAGTTCTCTTGGTTGAGCTCGGACGCCCAGAAAGAGGCGTTGGCCCACTTGCGCTTGCTGCCACCGACGAGCGCGCAGACGTGAAGCTCGGTGATGTAAGTGCCGTTCACGGTCAGGACGGTCGCGTTTACTTGGACGCGTCGAAGTGTGGCCGCGTGCGCTTGCACGCGGTACAAGGAGCTGCGCAGTCGTCAAAGAGAAAGGAAAGGAAAACAGACGGGGTGCGAGAGGCAAACTGTGTTCAGCCCAAACGGGAGGAGTGCGTCCGTTACACGCCCAACGAGTAGGGGGTAGGGGGTAGGGGGTGACGCCCAACCCCCCGAAAAGCAAAACAAAACAGACGGGGTGCGAGAGGCAAACCTGCGAAAGCCCAAGGCAGAAACAAAGGAAAGGAAAGGGAAAACACTGGATTCCCCAAACACGATTTGTGCGAGTAAAGGAAAGGAAAACAGACGGGGTGCGAGAGGCAAACTGTGCTCATCCCAATGCGCTTCTTTCTTAGCTCCCCGGCCCTGGATGTGAGGTTACTGACTGCACTCCAAGTGCTCCAAGGGCGGCAACACACCCATCAAGCTACAGATCAACGGAGGGGCTGCGCCGTGACCTACAGAGAGTCAGCTCAGCGGCGCTTGGGAACGACCAACCCGTAGAGATCAAACCCATGGCCGTGGGGGGTGACTCGAGCCCGGTGAGGGAGAACAGAAGCTCAGTCAGCCCCAGCCTGGGTGACAAATCTTGGTGCACACGTGACCAACTGTGTGGGGCCGAGGAGGGCGGTGGCGGGGGGACACGCCCCCCGGCCTAGTCCGTCCGAGACGTTGGTGATAACGGGCTTGCTCCCAATAGTGGACGGGGGTCCTCTGGGCGGCCGCAGATGCCAGGCAGTGGCAACAGCTGCAGTCGGGGAAGGAGATGAGACCGCCCTTAACCCGGCTGATGGAAGCCCCATGGTCGAGGTGGCACGCCTAATGGCGGGAGAACCGCCTCCTGCGGGCCACGAGATGTAGACTAACGGGGCGATCAGATGGGCGCAAACGGTGCCGAGGGGCGGTGGAGCGGTCGTCATGATTGACGAGATCGCCGTCTCCAGGTCGTTCGGGGCCGAGGCTGTTATCGTCGACGTGCACACCACGGAGGGGAGGAAACGGTGTGGGCTCACGGCTGACTCCACGCTGGGGCAGACACCTGGCGGGAGGACCTCGCGGTTATGCTAGCCGTACCAGGCCCGACGGGGGGGCCATGTGACACACGAGCTGATGGTGGCCTCCCTCGCCCTCCCGGTGAAAGCTCTAGTGAATGAATGGCCCGGGGGAGGCAGTAGTGGATCGGACGGAGAGGTCCTACTGTCGGCCGACGTGGCCCGACTGAGTCGATACAATGACGAGGTGGCCACGTGAGCGGTGAGGCGAGCAGGTAGGAGGTAGCAAAAGGGTTTAAAGAAATAAAATAAAAGTTAAAGGGTCCCCAGCACTTTGCGTTTCCGGAAATTTCCAGGGAAAACAGAGGGTGTTTGGTGCTCCATTCTGGAAACTCGCGACTTTCCCTGAGTCTGAGAGCTGGTCTGGGGCAAAATCTGAGGCAAAATCGAGGAAACCGGCAGCATCCCGGGCTTTTTCCAGGTATACCCGGGGTTTTCCAGGTATACCCGCAAAATACCCGGTATTTTGCCGATTTGGCTGTGATTTTGGGCCCAAACCAGCCTCAGATTCGGCTCAGAGCCCGGAAAATTTGATGGTTTCCCCGGGAAAATAGAGAGGAAAAGAGAGGGTGCTGTAGAGAAAAAAGGAAAGGAAAAGAGACGGGGTGCGAGAGGAAAAGTATATACAGCCTAAATGCTGACACGCAACACGGGGTCCCAGGGAAGGCGAGCAAAAACCTTATCGCGCGCGCTAGACGCCGACTCGGAGGCCGCACCGGTCATCGCGCAGCCGGAGAGAGAGGGAGGCGCTCAATCGCCGAACTCGGGTTCATTCACGCTCCCTCGCTCCCCACGCGCCACGGCCACACGCCGCCGCCCAGACCCCAGTTCCCAGAGCTGAGGGAGGGTGTAGAGGATGTAGAGTGTAGAGCGCTGTAGAGCTGTAGAGATGTAGAGCGCTCTGGAGCGCTGTAGAGCGCTGTAGAGCTCTACATCCGCCGCGTGACGCGAGGCGGGTGCGTTGTAGAGCGATGTAGAGCGCGATTTTGCTGTAGAGTTTGTTGTAGAGGCTCTACACAGCCAAACCGCCGGGAAGGCAGTGACTCAAAGAGGTCGAGGAAAACAGACGGGGTGCGAGAGGCAAACCGGGTTGAGCCCAATACCATTGGGGAGGGTTGACGTCGTGATGTTCACGGAAAATTTCTTTTTCTGCTGTGTCCTGTGAAAATTCCAGCGTGAAGAGAGGGGAAAACCCGACGGGAGGGCCCAGACCTACCCTACCTACCCCGTTTTGATTGATTGATGGGAAGGCGAAACACAGTCCGACCAACGACTGGGACACCAACGCGGTATGGGTGGACGCAGGACGGGCGACCCCGTCATGATGTCCGGCCAGCAAAAAAAGAATACGGACTGCCAGTCGGCCCTGGCTCAGCTCGACCAGGAGTCCCACGACGAGATGGCGACCGGCACGCGCGTCGAGCACGCGCAGGCGGCGCTTCAGAAGGCTGACGCGGTCTGCTTCGACGTGGACTCGACCGTCATCACCAAGGAGGGCATCGACGAGCTCGCCGCCTTCCTCGGCGTCGGCGACCGGGTCGCGGCGCTCACGGCGAGTGCGATGGGCGGCTCGGTGCCGTTCCACGAGGCGCTCGCGGCGCGGCTGGACGTGATGCGGCCGTCGCGCAAGCAGCTGGACGCGATGCTCGCTGCCCACCCTCCGGCGGACCTGCTCACGCCCGGCATCGCCGCGCTGATCGCGCGGCTCGTCGCGCTGAACAAGCGGGTGTACCTCGTCTCGGGCGGGTTCCGGCAGATGATCGAGCCGGTGGCGGCCGAGCTCGCGATCCCGCCGACGGACATCTACGCGAACAGCTTGCTCTTTGACGACGCCGGCGACTTCACCGGCCACGACCCTGCCGAGCCGACCTCGCGCGCCGGCGGCAAGGCCAAGGTGGTGGCGGACCTCAAGGCGTCGAGGGGGTACAGCACGGTGGTGATGATCGGCGATGGCGCGACCGACATGGAGGCGCGCGACGTGCCCGGCGGCGCCGACGCCTTCATCGGCTTTGGCGGCATCCAGGTGCGAGACAAGGTGAAGGCGGGCGCCGACTGGTTTGTCACGTCCTTCGACGAGCTGATGAAGGCCCTGGCGGGCTGCTAGCGCGGGCGCCTCCCCTCGGCGGGGCGGCAGGCCACTCCCAGGGCGGCGCGGCGCGAGGTGGTTGCGTGTGGCAGCGACCGCTGCGCGGCCGCAGAGCGACGCGGCCCGCAGGAGCTCTGTCACCCCTCGAGCGAGGACCCTCTCGTTCGGTACGCATGTATATGCGCCTACTCATGCATGATCACTCTTATGATTTTCTTTTGCCACGGCCCCGGGGGGGGCGAGGAACGACACGGTTCTTCCAGCCACGCTGCTCGCCTCCGCCAAGG